GAGTGCGATGCCTCCAATTTCGCAACCAGTGCAGTCCTCTCCCAGCTCCAACCCAGTGGGGAGTTCCACCCAGTGGCATTCATGTCCAAGAGCTTTACAGATGTGTGTCATATCCATCCCTGGCCATTGACTTCCACTCCCTCCGATCCCTCCGGTCTACCTCCACTCCTTCTTCACTAACCTCGGAGCTCCCGTATTCCGTAATCACCTCGGTACCTCTCAATGGTCACCACCCCCTCTTTTCAATTTATTACCTACACCTCCCTAAGTACGGAGCCCCGAAGGCTTCTGGACAGCTCCGACATCTGCTAGCACACTCCCGCCTCCGCTGGGCAATACACTCGCTTGCCCTGCAAGCCCACCTTCAGGCCTATCCCTCCTTTCCGTTTCTGGGTTATCGCCTGCCATTCCATTAACCCCGTAACCTGACTCATCGGTAATATTCAATCGGCTAATGTCTAACCCCGTTAGCTCCACTCTGCTTGGCTCTGCCATTTGCGGGCCTGCTCTCATTGTAACCATATATATACTCCACTTGTACATAGGTTACACCTCAGTAATAAAATCAACTAGAGTTTACCCCCTTCAGTTCTGGGTGCCAGTTTAGTAAGTTAGGGCATGGACATGTTACTAGGCACAGTGCTCCTGGCATAAGTCGCTGAGGCCGAAGCCCTCCATCATGGAGACACTCCCTCGTCTCAACCTGGTCTCTGACAATGTGGAACATAACTACGAAGTGTACGACAAAGAGATGCTCGCGATCGTCCAAGCTCTTGAGGAATGGCGACACTTCTTAGAGGGTGCTGAAGAGAAGGTCAAGGTCTACACCGACCACTGCAACCTGGGGTACTTCCAGATGGCCCAGAGGCTAAATCGATGCCAGGCTCAATGGTCCCTCTTCCTCTCCCGCTTCCCCTTCACCCTTGTCCACCATCCCGGGAAGCTTATGGGAAAACCGGATGCGCTCTCCCATCGTGCTGACCACCCAAAAGGGAAAGACGACAATGAGGGGTTAACCCTCCTCCAACCGGCCTGGTTTGAGACCCATGTGACAGAGGCATTCTCAGTAGAAGGAGAGGAGGTAGGCATCTTAGATCGGATATGCAGGGCAAAAGATCACGATGAGAGGGTAGTAAAAGCCATACGAGAGCTGGGAGAGGGGATGCTAAGGTTGGATGAATGGGAAAGGCAAGGCGAGCTGGTCCTGTACTGGGGGAGGGTATATGTCCCAAAAGACCCCCAACTCTGCCATGACCTAGTACGGCTACACCATGACTGTCAGGGCACACCCACCTGACCCGGTTCCACCTGGGCCCACCCGGGCCCACCTCACCCGCTCCCCGCTACCCATCCTTCCTCCTTCCTCCTTCCTCCCTCTTCCCCTTCCTCCCTTTCCTCCCTTTTCCCTCTTTTCTCTTTCTCCTTTATTTCATTCTCCCTTTCTGTTTATTCTTTCTATTTACACAACAGACCACCTTCCCTTGTATCATTGTACTGTTGACCCGTCCGGCTCGGACACCCCGGACGACTTCCCACTACGCCCAGCATGCGCACCTGCAGTGGGTGCCCTTGGGATCCCCCGCAGGGATACCCAGATGGCTGCGGCTCTCTCTGTAGATGACGTGGCACCCGTCATGTGACCCAAGCCGCATGTACATAAATGTACCTGAAGTGGGAACTGAAGAAGTGACCTTCTTCTCACGTTTTCCACTTCAGTCTAAGTGGCCAGGGACTACAGTCCCAGATCAGCCCCGTCAGTACGTGCACCCGCTTCATTCCCCAAGAGGGTCCCTCTGCCGGGCGCTACATCTGGGCCCCCTCCACCCCGGACGCGTCCCTGACAATGACATTGTAACGGGTCTATCACCACTAGACTCAAGACAGAAGAGAGGGGGAGGGTTGGAGTGGTCGCATGCACAGGTTTGTTAACTTGGAGTGGATTCCACTACTCCTCACTGTCTAGCTAACTATAGAGCTGGTCACGGTATCACGGAAGAGTCCGAAAATGACAAATAAGGAAATAACAATAAGAAAGGGAAACATCGGGCTCTAGTGACTAGAAATGGAATCAGAAAAATCAGGAAAAATAAGAAATATGCAGGAGAGAACATTGGCTAAGGGTGGTAGAATCGCAGGATTTGGCTTGTTTATGGTACACCAGCAAATCCCCGTTACAACATGCAGGCAACAGGGCACCCAGGGCAGTGGAAAACCCTGGAACTTGTCTCCTGCAACTACTGGTGGCCCCAGATGGCAGAGTATGTTGGGTGGTACATATGCAGGTGCAACACCTGTAACCATGTCAAATCCTTCCCTCATGAAAAGTTGGGAAGCTTACCCCAAACAAAGTCCCTACCCATCATTGGCAGGTGATTTCAGTGGATATGGTGGGAGAGCTCCCAGAGTCCAAGGGCTATAATGCCATCCTAGTGGTAGTGGACCGCCTGTCCAAACATATCCATGTGGTCCCCACTGTGACGACTGTAGACTTGGAGGGTATCGCATGGCTCTTCCTAGAGCACATCTGGAAGCACCACGGGCTCCCTGAGGAGATCCTCAGCAACAGAGGGAGCGCTGCAAGAGGGCTCACGGCTCTCTATGCCGACTAAGCTCGTGGGGCCAAACTCTCCAAAATCCTACTCTCTTGACTAAACTCGCTATGCTCTCGATCCTTAACTCCGTGGTGAGTTCTCCGGAATTTCCGCAAGGTCCGGGCTCAGTGTCCACTACTCACTCATTGTGAGCTAGATCACTGCCCTTATTCCTACTGTTGGAATTCCACACACTCACACCCACTCTAGCGCGTCCTAGCACCTTAGAGAAAATTGGGGGAGGGGAGAACTTCTTTTCAAAATCCGGTATGTACAGGATTATATCTAATAATTATTTTTAGAAATAATAGATGGGGAATATTGGTACCATATGGCACCTGGATACCTTATTAGGCGAAATAATAGAAAAGGGTAACAGTATCAATAAAAGAATATTGATCAATAACTGAAATGATGGCAAAATATAAAAATATAAGAAAATAAGCGATATCTCAATGGATTTACGGAATTAAGATCCGAAATTGGAAATGTAGCCGGAAATAACTCTCACACAGCCGATAAACATTTTTACCAATTTATTAGACGCCGTGGGAATGAGTGAGGCTGGAATTCTGGGTTGCCGCTTGAGATTCCCACGCCCGCACATGCCTGTGCCTAACTTGCCCAACATAGAACTCCGTCAAATCTCCACCGATTAGGACGTTCTTGGTATCGTCAGAATCGTACGAATTAGGACTATTTTTAGGTACAAAATTCGTATCGAGTTGTCGCGTGAATGGAAGGGGTTTTCTAATCGTGGAAACGGGTATCCGAGCCGGTGCTGCGCATGGGCGATTATCCTGCCTACAGCGCCTTCATCTCCCACTTCTCAAGGGAGCTCGCGGACCTCCTAGGCATCAAACTGACCCCCTCAACACCCTACCACCCCCAGACGGACGGACAGACTGAGCGGGTCAACCAAGAGATTGAAGCCTACCTCCGGGTGTTCGTCAACCATTGACAGGATGACTGGGCGGATTGGCTCCCGCTAGCAGAATTCTCCTACAACAACCACATCCACTCATCCACCCACTGAACCCCTTTTGAACTCAACACCAGCCAACACCCCAGAATGGGGACGGAACCCACACATACGTCCGAAGTAGAAGCCGCTGACACATTTTCATCAAGGATGATAAAAATGCAGTGGACGAGATGGCCTGTTACTACAACCGAGACCGTGAAGTGGCCCCAGAATACCGAGAAGGTGACCAAGTCTGGCTCAGCACCCAGAACTACCTGACTGACTGTCCAACCAAAAAGCTGGACCACAAATGGCTTGGCCCCTTCAAAATTGTCAAAGTTGTTTCCCCAGCCACCATCAAACTCCAACTTACCACATGACAGAAGGGAGTTCACCTGGTCATGTCTATAACGAACATCAGGCCACACTGCCTGGACAATATCGCAGAATGACCCACTGACCCCTGCCCAGGCCCGGAACTCGTAGATGGAGAAGTGGAGTATGAGGTTGAGAAGGTATTGGACTCTAAGTGGCTATGCCAGAAACTCTGGTATCTGGTAAAGTTCGTTGGTTGGCCAAGCTCAGAGAACCAATGGCTCCAGTGGGACCACTTAGCCCATGCCCCCGACCGGATCGAGGAATTCCACAGGACACATCCCCTAGCCCCAGGGAGAGAGAGGGAGAACCACCTGGCCGCTTCAAGGCGAAGCAGCTTAAGGAGGGGGTGATGTCAGGGCACACCCGCCTGACCCGGGTCCACCCGGACCCACCTGGCCACACCTCACCTGCTGCCCCACTGCCCATCCCTCTCCTTCCTCCCTCCTCCCTCTTTCCTTCTTTCTTTTCTTTCTTCTCTTTTCTTTACTTCATTCTTCCCATCATTCTCTTCCTGTTTATTCCTTCTATCTACATGGACCACTTTCCTTTGTATCAATGTACTATTGACCCATCCGGCCCAGACACCCCGGACGGCTTCCCGCTGTGCCCAGCATGTGCACCTACAGTGGACGCTCTCGGGATCCCCTGCGGGGACCCCTGGATGGCTGCAGCTGTCTCCGAGGATGATGTGGCACCCGTCATGTGACTCAAGCCACATGTACATAAATGTACCTGAAGTGGGAACCAAAGAAGTAACCTTCTTCTCACCTTTTCCACTTCAGTCTGAGTGGCCAGGGACTGCTGTCCCTTTCTGGACCCGCCAGTACACATGCCTGGTTTACACCCTGTGAGGGCCCCTCTGCTGGGTGCTACATCCGGACCCCCTCTACCCCGGACGTGTCCCTGACAACTTGTGAGATGGACTGGGAGTGTGAGGCAACCTTAACGATGCGCTTACACTTTTTTACGCTTGGGTGAGTTAATTTCAACTTAACCCCAGCACGTTCCCAATTCAATCGACACTGCAAAGCCTGTCGATCTAACCTTCACCCAGACCCTCATTCCCAATGAGTTCTCAAGGGGTGGCTGGATCATCTTCTTATTGCAAGGAGATGAAGACTGCACAGAAACCTGTGCAAGAACTCAGTCCTTTTGCCGTTGTTGGTGAAACCAACACCACTTCCACCAATCTAAGTCTGATCGGTAGCTCTAATGCACCTCCAGACAAGTTAAACTTGTCAGGAGCGATGGCAGGTACTGATGTACCTGTCGCAATTGCTGCCAATCTGGATAAGTGTCATGCAACAGCCTGTCAAGAGGCTGATGAATCTGCATCTTCCCAAGGGCTTTCTGAAGCCTTGAGAGAGATTAGGGCAGATTTCAGTGCTCTTAGGGCTTGCATTATGCAGGCAGTTGTCTTTGCAAGCCAGCGCACGAAAGCACTGTAAGCGTGCTAGGGATATAACCAAGCAGCAAACAGGAAAAGAAAAGGGGGGCAAATAAAATCTCACTACCAGTAAGGCTGCACACGGTCCTGGTGCAAGAGCACTATACAAATAAATTCTCTTAAACTTAGCACTCACCCCTGGTTCTTCTTGGACAGTTGTCAGGGAGTCAAACTAAGGTTCTTGAGCGTATGGAGGGATCACTCAACACCACAGTCTTTGTGGCACAGAAGAGGGGTCCAACAACTGTAAGTAGAATGCAAACTGGGTGTATATAGAAAAAAAAGATAAATCAGAACAAAAAAAACAAGGAAAATAGCTGATGGATGGTGGCAATGGAAAAAGGAAGAATGCTAAGAGTTTGGCTAAGAAACAATAAGGCAAAAAGGTGTCCACAAGGTAACAATAAACTCAATAATTGAGGCCCATAAGGTCAATATCAACCATTAATCTCGCTTCTCCACCGCGTATCCGTTGTCCTAACTCCCATCCCGTCATTCCATCCTCTTCTCCTGATCCGTCGCTGTCCTTAGAGCTCAAAATCGTGTGAATTGGTATTGGTGGAAAATTGGTGGAGATATGGGGGAAATGGTGGATAACCGTGAAATTTGGGGAAGTGGCAATATGTCAGGGCACACCTGCCTGACCCAGCTCCACCCACCCTCACCCAGTATCCCACTTATCCTTATTCCTCACCTTCCATCACTGTTCTTCATTTCTTGTTATTCCTTCCTTTTACTCTTTCTTCTATTACTATCTACATGGATGACCTTTCTCCATATCTATGTATTATTGACCTGCCTGCGACGCTGTAGGTGGGCACAGCTGGTACTGCACAAACAAACCGAATATCGCGATTTCTCAATCCCAGCACATCCCCACTTCACGAAACACATAATACACGTCCTCATATACTATTCCTACCCTTCCATGATTTTTCCCTATTTTTCCAGACACATTCCCAGTCCCCACAGACCAAATTCCCATGCCCACCCAGCAGTGTGGCCACACAAGGAATAGACCCCACTTATCTCAGCAACCACTGCACCGATTTGGACGATATTGGTACCGTTGGAAACGCATCATTTAGGAGTGTTAGGATCCGTGATTAGCGGGAGTTTATTGGCGATGGATAGAGTTGGATATTTTTGGTCAGATACCATTTATTGCTTTATTGTTTTCTTGATTATTGTTTTCCCTCCCTTTTTCCGATATTGATTGTTGCCCATATGGTCCACCTAAGCACATGGGGCACATCGCATATTTTTCATCATTTTTCCCTGATCATTTCTCATATATACTGTACATGAGGATGTATCTACCCTTTCCCTTGGATTAGAAACCACTGAGTGTGCCCCTCCCAAGCTAGTAGGGAGTAGTATGACATAGAAGATGACTAAGAAGACCTCTAGATCAGTCCTCACTTTAGTGTTACCCAGAGAGGTGGGGTGAGAGACTGACTGGAGTTGACCACTGTCAGGGCACAGCCCTTGACCCCACTCACCCTCAGACACCCTCACCCTTTCCCTAACCACCCTCTCCCCACATTTCCCCATTCCCCCTATCCTTCCCCCCACTGTTTCACACAATGATGCATGCATGCGAACCTGTGGGAACGTTCTGGGCGAGCAGCTCACCCAGAACTTTCCCACGGGTCACACTCGTTATGGAAAGTCGGCAGCAAGCGGGAACTGTATAGTTCCTAGGGTCCTTTTGTGTCAGCCTCACAGGGGGCTGAGAAGCTTACCCTTCTTCTCAGCTCATTCCCTGTGAAGGCTGAGGCTAGTCCCCTCAGCGACTTCGAGGAGTTAACAGCCGGGGAGAGCACCCCAGCTTCCACACCCGGCCTCACCCTGTGGCTGCTCCCAGCTGGGGTCCAGATCCTGACAACCATGCACCACACCGGACCATATTTACCATTACCATTACCCCTTTCCCCTGACCTGTTGGATACCAACCCAGCCCCTGTCCTTTCCTGTTTGCTTGCTGGGTTAGATCCCTAGCCTGCTTACAATGCTGCAAGCGGGGAGGATGGCTGAAGGGCTGCAGGGCACAGACCTCTGAACCTGACCAGACCACCCTCACACACACACAGGTAACCAAAGTGGGAGGAGCGAAACCGCAGCATTGACAGACTCACTGGCAGACCTTCTGTCAGAGACCGGGTCGAGACAAAGGAGTGTCTCCATGACGGAGGGCTTCGGCCTCAGCGACTTATGCCAGGAGCGCTGTGCCTAGTAAACACGTCCATGCCCTAACTTACTAACTGGCCACCAGAACTGAAGAGGGTAAACTCTAGTCGATTTTATTACTGGAGTGTAACCTATGTACAAGTTAAGTATATATAGTTACAGCGAGGGCGGGTCCGCAAATGGCGGAGCCGAGCTAATGGGGTTAGACATTAGCCGATTGAATATTACCGACGAGTCGGGTTACGGGGTTAGCGGGAAGGCAGGTGATAACCCAGAAATGGAAAGGAGGGATAGGCCCGAAGGTGGGCTTTGCAGGGCAAGCGAGTGTATTGTCCAGCGGAGGCGGGAGTGTGCTAGCGGACATCGGAGCTGTCCGGAAGCCTTCGGGGCTCTGTACTTAGGGAGGCGTAGGTAATAAATTGAAAGGAGGGGGTGGTGACCATTGAGGGGTACCGAGGGAGTTGCGGAATACGGGAGCTCCGAGGTTAGTGGAGAAGGAGTGGGGGTAGACCGGAGGGATCGGAGGGATCGGAAGTCGATGGCCGGGGATGGATATGACACCTTCCTACTAGGTCCAAAAAACCAAACTTCCATCACAAACCAACTAGACTTCCTGGTGGACCTTCCCTAGGGTTGAGCAAGACGTCCTGCCTTCTCAACGTCACCCTAAACCTGACTGAACTCATTCACACGCTCCCAGACACAGTACTGTCAGACTGGCACTAAAGCAGGAAGGAGGAGAAGATCTCTTTTCTAGATACATGCTTGTATATAACTGAAGCTAATGTCTGAGCAATCCGACGGTGTTAGGGACGGATAGAAATGGACAGAACAACATAGAACAAAGAAAACAAATGAAAACATGATAAATATATGGGCATGGCCACACAATCAATAGAATTCGACGATCTCCACAACGGCTGCACTAAATCTCCCAATACTGGACGTGTTCGACTCGTCTCGACGGCAGCTTTCTAACGATATAAAATTCGTCTGGATCGGAGAAGAACTGGGGGAGTTATAGTGAAAGTACTATGAAAGTGGCCCGATATGGAAACTAAGTGGCTGTAACCTGGTCTGGAAAAATATCAAAAAAATACAGAGATGATGGGGGAAGTACAACGGGCTTTGGGGGGCTGGGGGATTGTGTGTTGGGTCCCAGGTAATGTCTGTAGACCGTTATATGGTGCTGTTTGGGTACTACCGGCTCATCCCTCCTACAATGCATGCATGACACACCTAGCCCCAGATGACCTGGACAGCTTCACGGTGCAACCCAGCATGCGCACGTACAGCACACACCCTTGGGATCCCCCATGGGGACACCTGGGTGACTGTGGCTGTATGCAGGGTGACATGGAAAACCTCATGTGACCCAAGCCACATGTACATAAATGTACCTGGAGTGGGAACTGAAGAAGTAACCTTCTTCTCACTATTCCCACTTCAGTCTAAGTGGCCAGGGACCATTGTCCCACATTGGGCCTGTCAGTATGCATGCCCACTCCACACCCTGCAAGGGCCTCAGTGCCAGGCGTTACATCTGGGCCCCCTCAACCCTGGATGCTGAAGGAGGGAAAAGCTGGTAGTACCCTGACACCACTATATCATGGCCTACAGACGTTACCTAGCGCCTGACACACAGTCCCCCAGTCCCCCAGTCCCCCAAAGCCCGTTGAATCTCCCCTATCATCTTCGTATTTTTTGATAATTTTTCAGACCAGGTTACGGCCCACCCGGACATGTTACTGGGCCGCTTTCACAGTATTTTTACCATAACTCCCCCAGTTCTTCTCCGAGCCGGATGCACTTGGTATCGTTGGAAAGCTACCATCAGGACAAGTAGAACGAGTCTAATATCGGGAGGTTTGGTGCAGCCGTTGTGGAGATAGCCGGAATTTATCGATTGTGTGGCCGTTCCTATATATTTTTTATGCTTTCTGTTGTTTTATTTGTTCTGTGTTGTTCCATCCGCTTCTGTCCATCCCTAACACCGTCGGATTGCTGTACTTTAGTTCGGATGACCATGGTTTATATACAAAATGTATCTAGTATGATACAGAGATTCTCCCCTCTGCTCCGCTAAGTAGGGTGCTCGTTGGAGCCTCGAAAAACGGGATTCTGGCCTCATTTGTGTGGTACTTGCTGTGCCCTCTGTCAGGGACCTGTCCAGGGTCGAGGAGGCCCAGGTGTAGCGCCCAGCACTGAGAGCCTGGTGGGGTGTGGATCAGGCATGCGTTGTTGTGGGGACAACTCCGTGTACCGCAAAAAGTCGGATTCTGCGGAATTTGGTCACCAACACGCAGTACATATCCGCTGACGCTCCCGATACTCATTCTACCACTATCCAACACTCCATAGACTCACTCCATATTTTTCCTTATTTTCCCCATCATTCCCGACAACCCCAAGCAAAATTCCCACGCCCAACCATGCCGCCAATTTCACCCCCTCTCCAGACCTCCATACCCACACATACAACCCAGCCATTTTTCTACTCATTTGTAATGCTATACCTTCCTCCTTTACCCATGGAGCATTTCCCAGAATGGAAACCCCATACTCGGATGGTTCAGCACAGAGTATAGCCTCATGTGGTCTTGACAGCACCTGTCAATGGCCACATCTCAAGAAGTACTACACCAATTGGGATGAATGAGGGCTCGTTGGAAAGCTGGAGACGAGGAGGTTGCTGACGGGAGGATAGGCGGGCGCTGTGGCGAAGTGTTGCGGAGTTAACCTTCACAATTCCCATTTCGGACCCATTGTCACATTTTCCCCATTCATTCATATTTCTTTTATTGTTTCTTTGTTCCCAATTAGATATTCATCATTTACGGTTGCCTAACGGCCCGTTTACATTCCCCCATTCCATTCATTCCATTTCCAACTCATATAAAATAGATAACAGCTTGTACATAACAAGTTAGTATTGAATAGACCCGTGAAGGGACAAGCAGCAGTTGCATCCAAGTGGCAAAGACGCCATCCACGACCCTAACGCCCCCACTGAGCTAGTTGCTCACGTCTAAGACCCCTCACATCATAATACTCAGCCTTGATGTCCAAGAGAGACGTAGGTGAGTGTTTGTTTGAGGTTTTTGCAGACTCAGTAGCACCCACGGACCAAAACCCGGCCCCACAAACCACACCCACGCACACTAC